AAATTATAGACCAGAAATCTTTAGCTTTCATGAATTGGCACAGTTGTCGTGAAGCACCGTTGAAGACAAAGTATCGAAATAAGTACAAACGGTTACGGAAATTAGCTAAGATAAAAATTGATGCATGTCAGATTGAATATTGGGATGAAATATGTGAAGAAATGCAAAACTCTATCAAGTCGACTGATCCAGCTAATGCATTCTCGATCATTAGACGTCTTCGTGGAGGAAGTAAACGAATATAGAACATGCCAACTAAAGACAAACATGGTAAATTACTTTTAAAGGTAATTCATCGTTGAGAACGGTGGTGTGAATATTTTAATGAGTTATTTAATGTGCCTTCAATTGTTGATCGCTGTATTATTGACGAAATTCCAATAGACAAAATATCGAAGAAAGAAGAAGAGCGACAGAATGCTGATCCATCTATAGAAGAGGTTAAACGAGTACTGCATTAGATGAAATCAAGCAAAACGCCAGGAAACAATGAAATTACAGCTGGCATCCTTAAAGTTGGAGGTGAACCAGTTATCCGATGCCTATATGAACTATTCATCGATGTATGGAAAAACGAAGAAATGATGAAATATTGGAACCTGGCCATCTTAGTCAGACTATACAAGAATAAAGGTGAAAAACAGATGTGTGATAACGATCGTGGAATTTCTTTACTCAAGGTCACAAGCAAAATATTTCCCCGCATAACTCTAAATTGTATTCAATGTCTGATCGATCATCAGTTATTAGAAGTCCAGTTTGGTTTTCGTTCACAAAGATCAACGATAGATCAAATCTTCACATTAAAAATGACTATCGAAAAGCGTAGAAAGTTTAATAAACCGTTATTTATGTGCTTTATCGACATAACTAAAGCCTACGATTCTGCTAATCGTGATCTACTATGGAGAGTCTGTCAAAAACACGGTATTTCAGAGAAACTTGTTAATCTTTTGAAAATGTTACACAAGAAATCACAAGCAAAAGTGAAAATAAACGGTGAATTATCGAATAGCTTCTCAATTAAAACTGGTGTACTGTAAAGTGGAATAGCATCTCCAATTCTATTCAACATTCTTTTCGATTTTATCAAGGGGGAAACGGCAGAGACTTCGGTCGTGAAGTCCTATGAAGTCTTGAAAGTCTTTTAAAGTCTTCTAAGGTCTCATGAAGTCTCATTAAATCTCTTGAAGTCACATGAAGTCTATTGATGTCTCTTGAAATCTCCTGAAGTCTCGTGAAGTCTTTTGAAGCCTTGAAGCCTTGAAGTCAACTGTTTCTCCCTTGAGTTATAGTCTATATGAGTGCATCAGCGAGATTTTTTTATCGAATACATAATTGAATGTACTCTCTCTCATGAAACTATTTGCAACTTAAAATTCGCTGTCTAGTAAAGCATTTTTGCTCCAATACTACTCTTCGGACCCAATTTGTGTTATTTTTCACTAATCTTCGACAATTTTCGAAAGATTATTCCACATTTAGTCTCAAACAGATATTAAATTTGAAATTCGCATAAAAAACCTAGTTGATCTGTGTGTTTGAAATTTTTTCTACTGCTTTTTTCTGGGTCAATTTTTTACTCTCTAATCACCCTCCGGGGTATATAAACAGAAGCCTAAGGAAAACAACTGTTTTATGGGTTATTCAAGGGTCTTTTTGTCGTCAAACGACATTTAATAAGTTTGAAACTTCCTTTACATCATCAACATAGTTTTTTGAGTAAATTAATTTTTTCATCTGTCCTTGAGAGGGACTAGAGAGTGAAAAAATTTACCCTAAAAAGCTGCAGAAAAAATTTCAAACACACATAGATCGACTAAGTTTTTTATAATGGTTTCAAATTTAATATTTGTTTGAAGCCAAATGCGAATTAACGTGGTCGTCGAATATCAGTCAAACATGACACACATTGGTTCTTAAGAATAGTGAGCAGAGAAAAGTTCTTTACGAGACATCAAGTTTCAAGTTGTAAACGGGTGGTCAGAAACAACACTTTGAATTACGTATTCGGCAAAAAAAAATTCGATGATGCATCCATATAAACGATAACCTTTAACAGGCAAAAAATGATTGGTTGAAGTAATATGATCCGATCGGGGTGGTATTCGGTATTTATCGTTAGAAAAAGTTTTTAATATCTAAAACGTTCTTACAGATTCTAATGGAGAAAAGAATTTTGCATCGAATGAGACTATTTTCAAAGAACCAAATAAGATTTTAATGGACTTTCAGGGCGAAAATTATGTTTTAGAGCTTTCAGAAAGTATTTCAGATCTTTCTTTCTATCCGACTAGTTTTCAAAAAGATGTGATATTTCTAACCAACACACTTAACTCTATCAACCTATAAGAATTTCTAATAAAACAGCGGAAAATTTTTCTTTTGATGCCTGAGAGGTATCTCAGGTATAATATATTGAATTGTGATAAAATATAAAATAAACTTCTGAAAAATATTCAGAAAAGAGTCCTAATTGTCAGGCTAATAAAACTAGGTTGAGAATTTTGAGATGCAATGTCCATAATTTGACGCATCTCCGTTCACGGGGTTTCTAAAGCTTCTCAAACACTTCTACAGTCTCGAAGTCTATTGAAGTCTGCTAAAGTCTTCTGAAGTCTCTTGAAGTCTGATGAAGTCTCGTGAAGTCTCATGAAGTCTCGTGAAGTCTCTTGAAATCATTGAAGTCTCCTGAAGTCCTGTGAAGCCTCAAAAACCTTTTGAAGTCTTTTGAAGTCCTTTGACGTCTTTGAAAATCTTCTGGAGTCTTCTGAAGTCTTTGAAAAATTTGAAGTCTCGGTGCTTGAAATCGCTTGAAGTCTCGTGAAGTCTTTTGAAGTCCTGAAATCTTGAAGTCAGCTGTTTTTTCCTTGGATTTTATCATCAGAAACGTCATTGAAATTGCTGGTATGGATGGGACTAAATTCTATGACGGTAACAATGGCTTTTATGACGGCAAACAAAGAAAGTGTGAAAAGTTTAATATTTTGACTTTGCTATATGAAGATGATTTGGTTGAGATGTGTGAAACTGAGTATGATGTCAAGATCTTTATTGAAACTTACGAAAAAGTCACACAACAATATGGCTTAACTATGAGCGTCAAGAAAACGTGCATTATGACTACAATAATTTGAAGAAGATTAAAACCGGAAAATATTCAAGAATCAAGAAGAGATCTACACAAATATTAATATCACAATCCGTAATCAGCAGATCGAATCTGTGGACTCTTTTACGTATCTCGGCTGCAATATCTGCAGAGATCAAAAGCCTGATGTAGAGATCAATGCAAGATTAGCCAAATCTTTTAGAGCTTTCAATATGTTGAGGCATGCCGTATGGACTAAAATAACTGTGTCGATTGGGGCAAAACTACGTATTTTTCGAGTCTGCGTGCCTCCAGTTCTATTGTTTGGGAGTGAAACTTGGTTCATCACGTCGTCGCACGAACGTAGAATCATTAGATTTTACATGAAATGCCTATGGATTATTATCAGTGTTAAGTTGGGTGACAGAATGCCTAATGAAAGGCTGCTAGAAATAACTGGTCAATCATCCATTGAAAACATCCTACGTCGGAATAGACTGAGATAGCTTGGTCATTCGAACAGGATGATGAATAGTGATAATGAACCATCAATTGTTAAAAAGATAACATTTTCATACCTTCCAGGAGAAAAACGGCCTCGAAACATCGGTATTAGAAAAGGATGGGAAGATAAAGTCCAGAATGATATTGAAACACTGAATATAAAAAACTGGAGAAGACAGACGCTAAACAGAGAGCAATAGCGATAATTAATCAATCGAAACACTCATTATGTCCTATACATCTAAGTATTAACAATATTATCTACAAATACAAACAACGTGCAACTGAAAGAAGAAGGATGGAGTTAGCAGCAACCAAAGGAGTTTTACAGCGTAAAGTGACAGAAATAGTAACTAAAAACACGAATGATCGATTTCAGTGCTCTGGACGTGGAAAACAATTCAAACATCAAGGAATCACTAACCATGTGAGAGCATACTCTGATGCCACAGATTAGCAGGAAAAGAACAGAATCAAATAGAGAAATTAAAGCAGCAACTCGATGTAATTGTTCAGCACTTATTGAAAAATAAACCTAGAAATTTTGTTTATGATAGGTACTATTTAAATTGGTCTTCCAGAGGATAGTTTTCGGATGTGTCTAGAGTTTAAGTTTCAATGGAGATCAATAGAACATTCGCCAAGAACACTCTAATATTTTTGATTTTTTCGTTTATTAACTATTGTGTATTTTTTGTGTATTGTATCCTTTTCTCACCAAACACTGGAAACAGTAACCCGTCTAAGTAACTGACTACACCTGTAACTTTTTAAGGGCTACTTTGGCGTCATTACTGTACCGAAATTGTGCCAAGGGACAAAAATCTCATTCAAATATTATGAGCCATTTCCAGCCAACTCTAGCGATTCCGGAGCATTCTTAGCAACCAGAATTCAGTCAAAATTATTCATGTGTGATAGCGATGTTTACAAATAATTCTATTGGCATTTTGAATCTGGTTTTTCACCAAAAGGAAAGGGTAT